CATCAATAAATTTCAATAATTCCAATAGAGAGGCAAACGGACCTTTGGTAGTAGGTAATCAAAGATATAATAAAAACAACTCAAATGAAAAGACATCACAACCATCCATGAGACTAACACTATTAAAAGTCCTTACATGAACTATTTCATAAACAAGAGAAGTTCACCTCAGAAGAACCCATTCTATCAGTGCCATGTATGAGAAAATTCCCAAAGTTAGGCATCTGAGTCAGCCTCCTTTATCTTTTTCACAAAATAAAACCAGACACAGCATACCAGATATGATATTGTTTATTAATAAATCGTCTTGTCATCCTAATCTGAATCCAAGAGCCTCTGACACCATACTCTCAAGGGCAACCAAGAACAATATACACTAGCACTACTGGGTGATCAATAAACCATGCAAATACTCCCAAGGGTTTGTAGTTGTATATTAGCAATAAATCATAAACCAACAGGTTTCAGAATACAAGGTTGAGTTTCTGTAAAAGCATTAGAAAAAGTATTTACCTCAATCATACCACTTCTGACAGCAGATATCGAAACGTCAATGAGGAAAAAATACAGTGGCGGCATAGGAGGCCGGACCATATATTCAGTTGGAGCAACAAATTCCACACTACCCTGTGTAAGCTCAGGTCGTTGATCCAAATCAATTCTTCTGCCAATGGCATCCAAATGAGCAAAGTAATCCCCAGGGACTGAACAAGAAAGTAAATACATTATCACTTTGTGCTTGACCAGAAATATTAAATAAGGTATATTTTCCTAGAACCAAACAACACCCCACTGCTGTGGTTAATTTTAGTAACTGAAAACAAGTGGTATCTAGCAAGAAAACTTGATTGCATTCAGGTAAATCCAGGATTAACAATAAAGCAAAGCTGCTGTATATTGATCATTATATTAGAAACTTCAGTGCACTAAGGGAAATTACTGAGAGTTAGAAAATAAAAAAAAAGTACTCTAGCATGACAGGTTGCAATTGTAGAAAATATCTGCGTTATGAAATAAAAAATGAAATAATAACTACATTTTTTTTTTTTTGGAGAACATAATAAATACATTTTGGACTATAAGGCAAACAGCAATATTCCATACGTATATTGCAGAATATATTACAGAAATCCTATTTGGGGAAGTATAACTAACAAACATGAATAAACTATAAGGCAAACTCAGCTGCTTAATGCTGCCCAACATTAAGAAGCATGAAGTTGAACATAGGGAAATTTTGTGTCAACATTCTGCATCCTTCCATACATTGGCTTATAATAATAAGTTAAATTTATTCTCTTAGGGGAAAAGAGAAGAGCTAGTCCATTTACCATCATTAAGTAAAGCACAAATGTTGCAACGCCACTTTCTTCCAGCATCTGTAAATGTCACATAGGGGTTCACATACGTCCGACATCTTCTACAGCGAATAATCCCGGCTGAACCAAAATTAACAATTGGAACTTCCTCCTAGATAGAGAACACAGAACAAGATAATTACAGCGAATCCAACTTCAATCAATTTTGATCATTTTGAATGCTTGAGTATAGATGCACTAACCCCATCAGGTGGTTCAGCAAGTGGACAAACAACTGCTCCCAAAGGTAAATGCCACCTTGAAGACAAAGACTGAGAACTTGGTATTGCACCAGTTGTAAACCGTAGAAATCTAGGATTGCAATTCATGGGGTACATCTGAGCAAGTGATTTTGGCTCCACGTCACCAGCCAAAGGCCTTGGCAAAGCTTTAGGGTCGAGTCCAGGTTCAATTGATCCAGGAACAGATCCAATAGATAGTGCACTGAAGTCGTCTGTCAAGGCTTGGACAGCACCAACGGGAGGTCCAGAACCATGATGTTGCATGTGGTCCCTTGACATACCCAATGGAGCTGCACCTTGCGTAGGTGGAGCATAACCTCCTTGGTGAGCTGCAAAAGGAGAGGACACTGCTGGTGGAGCAGCTGCATAGCTTCCTTGATGAGTAAGAAATGGAGACTGAGCTGGTGGGGCTTGTGAATCTGCACTAGACTGCTTACGGGGAAATCCAGGAAGAGATGTCTGAGCATTTGGTAGGGAAGCTGGGAATGATGAATCTGATGGAGACTGAAAAGCATTCACACTTGGTGGTGCAGAATTAATGCTTTGAGGTGGAGGTCCCATTGGCACAGAAGGTATCTGCTGTTGTGGTCGTTGAAATGGTGCTTGACCAGGAGGAAGTTGATATGGCATTTGGCCTACAGGTGGACCACGTGCAGTGGGTGCTTGCACTGCTGGTGGATATTGTGGTGTTGGGAAACGGGAGTAAGGTCCAACACTTGGCGGGACACTTGAAGTTGGTGGAGGAGGCACAGATGGATCATGAAACCTACCTGGCAGGGTAGGCCTAAAAGGAGAGGCTTGTGTTCCAACTGCAGATCCAGATGATGAGAACGGCACATTAGTCTGTGGAGGAACCGATGGAGTAGGTCTGAAGTTAGAGGCATTTGGTCCAACCACAGGCCCAGACGATGAAAAAGGTGTCTGTTGCGTGACAGGTGGAGGAGGTCTAAAACCATATGCCTCCTGTCCACCCATGGGACCTGAAGAGGAAAAAGGCACCATGTTTTGAGGAGGAGCCGCAAAAGGTGCAGTGGCAGGTCTTGCAGTAAAATTCGGACGACTAGGGTTTTCAGTCCCCATAACTTTGGTTACAATCACCTGCTAATTCAGTAGAAACAATGCTCTCATGACCTAGACCTACAGCCAAGAGAAGAGGTTTGAGTTATCAGCCAAGAGAAGGACCAATATGTCACTACATCACAGCTTAGACACTCACGGTATTACAGTATGGAATCATACAAACACAAAGACACATTTAAATTACTTTTTTTTTTCTGCATCAAATATAACAAAGAAACCGATGGAATAAGCAAATAATGTACTCGAAAATAAATCAAACCCTCTATGTCAACACTAAGCTCATCTAGTCTCACAAAATTAATAAAGCAGCCCGAGCAAGAATGTCACATTAAATCCTTAATCTTGCATTTTTAATATTTGACTACACCCAAGTACCACTAGCAATTCATTTAAAATTCCAGTAGCAATCCTAAGCTAGACCAGTTATCAAGGTCAAAACTCAAAAACCACCCAATCCTAACTCTTAACTCCTAAGGTTTCCCTCTCACATGATCGAAACGTATACGGTGCACTATGGATCACGATATACCATTACTAATTAATCTATAACCAATTATGGACCAAACATGGCTCAACAAGATGTGATTAATTAAGCATAATTTAGCACTAAAAATATTAACTTTATGATTGCTGATACTAAAAACCATAATCCCACAACCCAAAAACTAATTAAAACAAAGAGAGTGCATAATTTAGCATGCATACAGAAACAGAGTAGCAGATCTTAATCGGAAAAAGTCGAAAGAAAAGCACTACCCAAATCACAAATTTGTAACATCTACATGGATCAAGAAAACCCAGATGAAAATTAAAGCCAAATTCGTGAGCCCGATGGAAATCGAATGCAAAACCCAATGAAAAACCAGAGAGAAAAAACAGACCCGACTGAGATTGGGAGTTGAATTTTGGAAATTTTTTTGGACCAAAAGCAGGGAAAAGTGAATTATATTGGACGAACCGAGATGAAGGACTAGTTGTTGGGTTGATTTAATCGCAGAGCGGCAAATCGAGATTCAGCGAGAGAGCGAGAGAGAAGCTTACCTTTGCTTCCGCCGGAGGGGAGAGAGTTTAGAGAGAGATTGAAATTTGAGGAGGATGAGAGAGAGACTATTACTGGGCTAATCATTTTCATCGACTTCTACGATGTCGTTTTGTTCTTGTATGATTAGGTCCAATAAACGTTCGGATTTAGAACCCAAAACTCGTTGGGTCGGGTCAGTCTATCATTTTATTTTCATTTTTCAATATTTTCAATTCTAAAGTCTAAATTTTGACCCAAAAAAAAAATCTCAAGTATAAATAAAAAGGAAAACTAATGAAAGGGGCTTGAAAACTTTGAGTTTTAATGATAAGGACAAAATAAAGGGTAAAGTGAATAGTACCATGATTGACTTTTTAGTGTAAAAATATGGTTTTTCGTTAAAGTGAACAGTACCGGGTGCTTTTCGTTAAAATTCCCTAAATAAAATGAAGTGTTTGATATCTGAAATTCTGAATATTGAATTTGTTATATATAAAGCTAGTTTTTTTTAACTAACCTCGTTAGGACTTTTATTTATTTTTATTTCTTTAAATCTTTATTTAAGATCATTTTGTTTAAACAAAAGTTCTAACGAAGTTTGTAAAAAAAATTCATTGATCTACATTATAATTTATAACAAGTCTAATCACTAATACTTACAAATTTAGAGTTCTATGAGTATCTTCAAAGGGAATGTCAAAACCGCCACACATATAACAGTAAAAACTAACAGCAAACTCTCTCCAACGGAAGCTGTCAAATTCATTTAATAATTCTAATAGATTTGATCCAATGCATAGTAAATGTTTTTAGTTGTTCCAAGTATTTGATTTGTTGTCCTAATAAATGGACCACACAAAGAGATAATTCTTTTTTATAGAATTACACCATATTTAACATATCGGGTGGATTAAAAAAGTGTACAAAATGTCAAACTGCGACATAAGCAATCAAATATCATTTTGATATTTAAAATTTGACATTTACTTTAGAAATGCTATAATTAAGCTAGGAAAGATATCCTCTCTGGATCTCTTCCACCAAAATCTCTAGATCAAGTGATCTGGACCCTTAAAATTTGATCAAACGGTTAAAAACAGAGATTCTTTTTAAAAGTTATAATAATTTTAGCCGTTGAATCAAATTTTAAGGGTTCGGATCACTTAATCCGGGAGGCTTGGTGGAACTAAAGTTCGGAAATCATTACTCCAATTACCTCAATAAAAAAATATTAACTTGCTTAGGTGGAAATTATTTTGTCCAGCTCAACTTCAGCAAGACCAAAAATATGAACAGAAAGTGAAAATCAGGTCAAGCAGCTTCATTCATAACTCCCTCTCTCTCTCTGTTTCCATCTCTCAATTATTATTAGTTCTTCTGTTGATCCTTTCTAAACCTCTCATTTCGATCCAAATCCATCCTCCATTTCCCCCCAAAACCAGCTTCACTTTTCTGTTTTGGCACCAGTTTCAGAGACCCAATTGGCAAACGAGTCCTCCATTGAATCATCCACCCGAAGCTGGTAAAGTTCAAGTTTTCAATCAATTCATGCAACTGGGTTTTGCTTTTTTCCTTCAAATTTTTAGGATTTGATATCCAAGCAGCTGGCTTTAGATTAGTCCATCCGATGATCATGTTTAGACTCTGCATCGAAAATTACAAAAAATTGAAATTCTATCAGTAAATGGATGTTGTTTGTTTCTTCAGATTCTGAAACTTTGAGAAGCAAATTTAGCAACTTGGAAATAATTTTGTTAATGACGTATTGGAAATGGTTTTTATTAGGTCAGGCATGACGAATCAAGCTGGGAACTTCATTTGGGAGATTAAATTAGCTGGGAACAAGTTTTCGAAATCTTTTCGATCCATCGCAAAGTAAGTACTTAAGCAAGTTTTAGATTTCAAAGGTTTTGTTATTAATTTTTTTATGGTTAGGAGTTAACTTGTATTGATATTGTTGACTGCTCCAGATGGGATCCTCTGTTTTTTTTTTTTTTTTTTTGGTGGTGTGGGATACTCTGTTTCATTCAAACTTTAGGTATGAAAGTGGGACAAAAAATTGAAATTTCACTGTAATTGAAGGTTGTAAAGTGGGAATTTTTTTTTTTTAGTTTTAGTGGAAGAGGACGGTTAACAATATACGATTTCATATTGCTCCTTGAGCTTAAATCTCAATGTAGGTAATAAATTTTGATGCCAAGTTCTCAAGAGTGAGTGATATTTGAATTTTACATGTGCTGGTGTTATATGTTCTACTGGTATACCATATGAAGGAAAGCTAAATCATGAAAAGTTTTCAGGTCAACTTTTCACTATGTGGAGAGCGGGAAGCGAACTGATAAACATTTGTTATTTCTCACAGTTTCTGCTGATCAGCACACTCAGCAGGAGCAGGCTGAATTTCCAAGGTTGTACAATCTATATCTGAAGTGTCGTCAATGGCTGAGCAACGTAAAGGTAATGTCAAACCTGCAAATAGGAAGCCATCAGCAACCGCCACAGCAACCACCAGTGCATATTCCATTGATCTCAATAACTTCAGCAAGCGGTTAAAGATGATGTATTCGCATTGGAGGGAACATCGTAGTGATGTATGGGGTGAATCTGATGCACTTGCAATAGCAACTCCTCCAAATTCTGAGGATCTGCGGTATCTGAAATCCTCAGCAATGAATATCTGGTTGCTCGGTTATGAGTTCCCAGAAACTATCATGGTTTTCTCAAAGAAGCAGATCCATGTTTTGTGTAGCCAGAAAAAGGCTTCTCTCCTTGATGTTGTGATAAAGCCTGCAAAAGAGGCTGTTGGTGTTGAAGTTGTGATGCATGTGAAACTCAAAGGCCAGGATGGAACTGGACTGATGGATAGCATATTTCGAGCTATAAATGCCCACTTGAGCTCCGATGCTCCTGTGGTTGGACACATAGCAAGAGAGGCTCCTGAAGGGAAACTTTTGGAGACTTGGAGTGAGAAGTTGAAGGATGCTAATTTTGAGTTGAGTGATGTGACCAATGGGTTCTCAGACTTGTTTGCCGTCAAAGACCTGGTTGAGCTTACATATGTGAAGAAAGCCGCGTACTTGACTTCATCAGTGATGAAGACATTTGTGGTACCTAAGCTTGAGAAGGTCATTGATGAGGAAAAGAAAATTTCCCATTCTTCATTGATGGATGACACGGAAAAGGTCATATTGGAGCCTGCAAGAATTAAGGTGAAGCTGACAGCAGCAAATGTTGATATTTGCTATCCTCCAATTTTTCAGAGTGGAGGAGAATTTGATCTGAAGCCAAGTGCTTCAAGCAATGATGAGAACCTTTGTTATGACTCTACTAGTGTGATTATATGTGCTGTTGGATCAAGGTACAAAAGCTACTGCTCAAATATTGCTCGAACCTATCTGATTGATGCAAATTCTACGCAGAGCAAGGCATATGAGGTTCTGCTTGAAGCTCAAGAACCTGCAATCGGTAATTTAAAATCTGGGAAGAAGTTAAGTGCTGCATACCAAGCTGCACTCTCAGTAGTTGAAAGGGAGGCTCCAGAGCTGACTGGAAACTTGACCAAAACAGCTGGAACTGGAATTGGCCTTGAATTTCGTGAGTCAGGGCTTAATCTTAATGCTAAGAATGATCGAGTTTTGAGATCAGGCATGGTTTTCAACGTTTCTCTGGGTTTCCAGAATGTGCAGGCACAGACAAAAGACCCTAAGACCCAGATATTTTCACTGTTAATAGCAGATACAGTTATTGTTGGTAAAGAGACCCCAGAAGTATTGACTAATTCAAGCAAAGCTGTTAAGGATGTGGCGTACTCATTCAATGATGACGATGATGAAGAAGAAGAGCGTGCAAAACCTATATCCAGTAGTAAAGGTGCCGGGAGTGCCATGAGTAAGGCCACGCTTAGATCAGACAACCATGAAATGTCTAAAGAAGAGCTACGAAGGCAGCACCAAGCCGAACTTGCCCGCCAAAAGAATGAAGAAACTGCTAGAAGGCTTGCTGGTGGGGGTTCTACAGCTAACGATAATCGTGGTGCTGGGAAGACGGTTGGTGATCTGATTGCATATAAGAATGTCAATGATCTGCCTGCTCCAAAAGAGTTGATGATTCAGGTTGACCAGAGGAATGAAGCTATCCTCTTGCCGGTTTATGGAAACATGATTCCTTTTCACATAGCCACTGTGAAGAGTGTTTCCAGCCAGCAGGACACTAACCGGAATTGCTACATCCGTATAATCTTTAATGTACCAGGTACCCCATTTAGCCCTCATGATGCAAACACCCTGAAGTTTCAAGGGTCAACTTATTTAAAGGAAGTTTCATTCCGTTCCAAGGACCCAAGGCATATAAGTGAAGTAGTACAGCAAATTAAAACTCTTCGCAGACAGGTTGCCTCAAGGGAGTCTGAAAGAGCTGAAAGGGCAACTTTAGTCACACAGGAGAAGCTGCAAATTTCAGGAGCCAAATTCAAGCCAAAAAGATTGCCAGATCTATGGATTCGTCCTGTTTTTGGGGGTCGTGGAAGAAAGCTCACTGGATCACTGGAAGCCCACACAAATGGGTTCCGGTATTCTACTTCAAGGTCTGAAGAACGTGTCGATGTTATGTTTAGCAATATCAAACATGCATTTTTCCAGCCAGCTGAGAAGGAAATGATTACCCTGCTGCACTTTCATCTGCACGATCATATTATGGTAGGAAACAAAAAGACCAAGGACGTGCAATTTTATGCGGAGGTGATGGATGTAGTGCAGACACTGGGAGGTGGAAGGAGGTCAAACTATGATCCTGATGAGATCGAGGAAGAGCAACGTGAAAGGGAACGAAAGAACAAAATTAATATGGAGTTCCAGAACTTTGTGAACCGAGTAAATGATTCGTGGGGGCAACCTCCATTCAAATCACTTGATCTTGAGTTTGATCAGCCCCTTAGGGAGCTTGGCTTCCATGGAGTACCTCATAAAGCCTCGGCTTACATTGTCCCAACTTCAAGCTGTCTGGTTGAGCTGATAGAGACACCGTTTGTGGTAATTACCCTGAGCGAGATTGAAATAGTAAACCTTGAGAGAGTTGGTTTAGGGCAAAAGAACTTTGATTTGACTGTTGTTTTCAAGGACTTCAAGCGAGATGTCTTCCGAATTGATTCCATTCCCTCGACATCACTGGATGGCATTAAGGAGTGGTTAGACACAACTGATCTCAAGTATTATGAGAGTAGGTTGAATCTCAACTGGCGTCCTATTCTCAAAACCATTACTGACGACCCTGAGAAGTTCATAGAGGATGGTGGATGGGAATTTTTGAACATGGATATTAGTGATTCGGATTCCGACAATTCTCAGGAGTCTGACCGTGGGTATGTGCCTTCAGATGTGCAGTCGGATTCAGGTTCAGATGAGGAGGATCATGACAGCGAGTCATTAGTGGAGTCGGAAGATGATGAGGAAGAAGAGTCCGGAGAAGACTCAGAAGAGGCCGAAGGAAAGACATGGGAAGAGTTGGAGAGGGAAGCAAGCCACGCAGACAGGGAAAAAGGGAATGCGTCTGACAGTGAAGAGGAGAGGGCCAGAAGGAAGGTTAAGGCTTTTGGAAAGGCTCGAGTACCCGACAAGAGGAACCTTGGTGGCAGCCTTCCCAAGAGGCCAAAATTTAGGTGACATCAGTGTCGGATGCACTGAGGGGCGGGGGGACCCCCGAACTTCAGTGGACGTTCATGATACTTTAGATGTTTGAGCCTTCGAATTTCAGTAAATGTCTATGGATACCTTGGGTGCTGCCCTTTTGAAGATTAGAGTTGGCTTCATACATACCCTCCAATTGCCTTCAGGCCTACCAAGACTCGGTGAATGTCCATTGATACCTTGGGTGCTACCCCTTGCATACATTAACAAGTGTGCAATATGCATTTCCAAATGACTTTAGGCCTATCAAGACCCGATGAAATAGCAATATGCATGCTATTTCTGGTATAAAAAAATTGCGCGTTGTGCGCGCTTTTCTTACTGGCCCTCGTAATATTATTTCTTGGATCCGTCAATGGGTGACATTGTTTTTGTCTTCAGTTTTTTAAGTTTTGCAGCAGCTTAAGCAGCAGCATTAGATTTGAGTTGTGTGTTTTATTTTGAAGATGTTAAGAAAGAGTAAAGAGTTACCAAAAGGGTAAAAGTTAAAAGTGACTTTTTTGTTGTATCTTCGTTCTTTCTGTGTTAAAACAAACTTTTTTCTTGTGAGATGGTAGTAAAAAATGGATTACAGGGTTTTACATATATCTTTTATCATACTTGGGATTGAGTAACTTGAAAGAAAATCAATGGACGAAAACAAGAGATGAGTGCATAAGAAGAAATATGGAGTGTGAAAGTCACCATCCTTAGACCATCTCCAACTCTTGGCCTAAAACCTAAAATTTTTAACCCATAAAATTTAGGTTTTAACTTGGAAACAGTTTTTTTGCTCAAACTCTTCTGGCATAAAATTTTAGCTTGAAATTATTAAATAATGAACTTAGGCTAATTTTTTTTTCTTAAATTAACTTTTTTTTTAAATTATATAGACTATCGTAAATTAATTTTATGAACATTTTAATCTAAAAATATTTAAATTCAGATAAATATTGAAAAATCACTAAATTGACACATGAAACTCACCAAACTTTCAACTTTCACAATCGTTCAACTTTCACCAAACTTTCAACTTTCACCAATCTTTCAACTTTCATCAATCATCCTCTATATAAACACAGGTTGAATATCAGTTGATCACACAATCTTTCAACCTTCAATCATCCTCTATATTCACCGATCTTTCAACTTTCAAAGTGTTTTTGTTTCTTAAAAATTCTCAATATCTCATTAATGGGGATAGAAGAAGGCATAGCAGGGCAATGTAGATGGCACAATACCAAGCAAGCCTTGACATTGAGGATACATAAATGATCAACGCAGAAGCTGAACTTGCAAACTCGCTTATGTAATATGAGCACCATGTCGAATCTAGCTATCCTGGTTCTGTCGCAGCTAAAAGTGGCGCTGGAAAGAGGAAGCGGAAGGTAAAGGGAAAGAAAGCATCGGACGACGGCACAACAACAAAATAAACATCCCTTGACGGATGCATGCAAAGCTTGGTTTAGTTGTATCATGGTAAGGAATGAATATGTATTTGAACTTGTACTTGAACGAATGGAAGGATGAATTTGGATTTGGGTATGAACTGATGGTTGGATTTTGGTATGAATCGTTAACCGTTGCATTTCAAGAACCAGCATTTTACTGAGTGCTTACTAAGCGACTCTTAAGCTGCTTCTAAGCGACTCTTAAGCTGCTTCTGCATCTCCACAGTTCATGTAATAATCGATCATCGCCCCTTCGTTCCAACAAATAACATCGTTCGATTCTCCTCTGCTTGCTGCAGAACCTCAGAAACTGCATACATTTGAATGCACATGGATAAGGAATGGTGGACGTCGGAACTACACAAAAATGAGCATCCCTTGAATGTACGCAAAACAATATTCTAATCTCCAAGGAGGGGGACTCGAACTTGGGAAATACAAACCAGCGTACTGCCTTTAACCAACTAGCCTAACTCGCATCAGCATGTGTGCAAGAACGATACGTTGTTGCGAAAAGTTCAATCACTTTTTTGGGTAACAAAGTACGAAAAGAGGTGCAAAACAGAAAGCAAAATTCACTAGTCTTCCTACTGTGGAAATTAAACGAGAAGAAAATGGGGCAAGCAGAAACTAAACAAGTTAAAACCACATAAACGATGATAAAGCTCTCACTTCCAGCAAGGATACTGATAATACTACCAATTTACAACTCTGCATCTGCAACATAAGTCTAGTTCAAAACGATAACGAAACTACTTAAAACCGAAGTAAAATTATAAGTTCCAAGCTACTATCGTCAGACAACCACTTAAAACATAACGTGTGACTGACATGAAACAATCGCACGATCTATCTCATCTTAGTCCGCTTCGATATGCTATTAGGAGGTGGGGCTCGAGACTTCCCAAAAGCTTTCGTCTTCCTTCTCTTCCTGTCCTCCTCACTGTCATATTCGTTCCCCTTCTCCCTATCTGCATTGCTTGCTTCCCTCTCCAGCTCATCCCACGATAACCCATCCTCATCTGACTCTGCTTCTCCATCATCCTCAGACTCCACAACCGACTCACTATCAGAATCCTCATCATCTGATTCTTCCGATTCAGCAGATTCTACATCCGATGGTTCATAACCCTGGTCTGACTCCTCCGACTGTTCAGACTCTGAATCAGACGCTTCCAAATTCAAAAATTCCCAACCTCCATCTTCAATGAAGCTCTGCGGGTCATCGGTGATTGTCTTCAGTATCTGTTTCCAGTTCAGATTCAGCCTGCTCTCATAATACTTGAGGTCAGTTGTGTCGAGCCATTCCTTGATACCATCAAGCGCTGTTGAAGGGATTGAATCAATCCGGAGAACGTCCCTTTTGAAGTCCTTGAATACAATTGTCATGTCAAAATTCTTCTGCCCAAGGCCAACTCTTTCCAGATTCACAATCTCAATCTCACTTAGACTGACAACAAGGAAAGGAGTTTCTATCAGTTCAACCAAGCAGGCTGAAGTAGGGACAATAAATGCCGAGGATTTATGAGGTACACCGTGGAAACCAAGCTCTCTCAGAGGTTGATCAAACTCCAGGTCCCTAAACTGTGACTGCCCCCAAAGCTCATTAACCCGATTCACAAAGCTCTGAAAATTCATATTGACTTTGTTTTTCCTATCCCTCTCCCGCTGCTCTTCTTCAATCTCATCTGGATCATAGGCAGACCTCCTGCTACCTCCCAATGTCTGAACTGTGTCCATCACCTCAACATAGAATTGCACGTTTTTCGTTTTCTTGTTGCCCACCATGATGTCATTGTGCAGATGAAAGTGCAGGAGAGTGATCATTTCATTCTCTGCTGGCTGGAAAAAGGCATGCTTAATATTTGCAAACATGACATCCAGGCGCTCCTCTTGCCTGGTGGTAGAATAACGAAACCCATTTGCATGAGCTTCAAGAGTACCAGGAATCTTTCTTCCACGGCCACCAAAAACAGGTCTAATCCAAAGGTCAGACAATCTTATCGGCTTAAATCTGTTACCTGCTATTTGGAGTTTCTCTTGAGTAACCAGTGTCGCCTTCTCAGCTATCAAGGACTCCCTGGATACAACTTGCCTTCGCAGCCCTTTAATCGCCTGTACCACTTCACTTATGTGCCTTGGATCCTTGGAGCGAAATGAAACTTCTTTTAAATATATAGACCCAAGGTTCTTCAGTGAGTTGGCATCATGAGGACTGAAAGGAGTCCCAGGGACATTAAACATGATTCTGATATAACAGTTCCGATTGGTGTCCTGTTGACTGGAAACTGTCCTTATGGTGGCAACATGAAAAGGGATCATACTGCCATAAATAGGCAACAGAACAGCTTCGTTCCTCTGGTCAATCTGAATCATCAGTTGATTCAGACCTTTTGGAGGAACGACATCATTTACATTCTTGTAGGCAACTAAATCCGTTAAACCCTTTGCTGCAGAACGATTGTCACCCGACCCAGATCCACCACCAGCAAGTCTGCGGGCAGTTTCTTCATTTTTCTGACGGGCAAGTTCTGCCTGATGTTGCCTGCGGAGTTCCTCCTTCGAAATCTCATGATTGTCTGACCTCAGTGTTGTCTTAGACAATAAGGCCTCCCTTGCATTAGCCTCACCCTTTGGTTTTTTTGGCTCTTCAGCTTCCTCTTCATCTCCATCATTAAAGGAGTACGCCACATCCTGAAGATTCTTAGAGCTTCTACTTGTCACCACCTCTGGCTTGTCATTGCCAATAACCACAGTGTCAGCAAGCAACAAAGCATAGTTCTGGTTTTTGGGATTACTGCGACCACTCTGTAAGTTCTGAAACCCAAGCGACACATTAAAGACCATGCCTGCTTTTACCAACCGCTCATTCTTTGCATTTATATTCAACCCAGATTCACGGAACTCAAGGCCGATACCAGTCCCAGCCGATTTTGTCAAATTTGATACAAATTCAGGAGCCTCCTTCTCCACCACAGCAAGGGCAGCTTGATAAGCATCACTGACCTTTTTCCCAGGCTTCAACTCACTAATGGCTGCATTATGGGCCTTGAAGAGAACTTCATATGCCTTGCTCTGACTGGAAGTAGCATCAATCAAAAAGGACCTGGCAATATTTGAGCAGTAACTCTTGTAGCGAGACCCAACTGCACATATGATCGCACTAGCAGAATCATAATAAAGCAACTCATCATTGCTAGCAGCACTGGGTCTGAGATCAAACTGTCCTCCACTCTGAAATATCGGGGGGTAACATATATCAACATTATCAGCCCGGAGCTTCACTTTAGCTTTAGAGGGTTCCATTATAGCCTTCTCTGCCTCATCCATCAAAGAAGAATGGGTGACTTCCTTCTCCTCATCAATAACAGTCTCAAGTTTTTTAACAACTACTTCGGTCATGACGCTAGCAGACAAGACAGCAGCTCTCTTGATATTCAAAATCTCTTCATTGTCCTTAACAGCAAACAGGTCAGACAACCCATTTGTTACATCACCCAACTGAAAATTTGCATCCTCAAGCTTCTTGGACCATGATTCCAAGAGGTTTCCCTCAGGGGCCTCCCTTGCAATATGTCCAACAACTGCTGTGTCATGGCCATCAGCCTTCGACTGAGCACGAATGGCACCTAAAATTGCCTCCATCAGACCACTTCCATCATCACTCCTTGTCTTCTCATGCATCACGACATCAACACCCACAGCTTCCTTGGCAGACTTTTTTACAACTTCCAGCAAAGACACCTTCTTCGTACTGCACAGGAAATGAATCTGCTTCTTCATGAAAACCATAATGGTCTCCGGAAACTCATAACCCACCAGCCAAATATTCAATGCTGAAGATTTAAGGTACCGCAGATCTTCTGATGCTTTTGGTGTCGCTATTGCAACAACATCAGAAGAACCCCACAAATCAGATCGATGTTCATTCCAATGAGAATAAAGTAACTTCAACCTCTCAGTGAATACTTTCAAATCAATATTATAGGCACTTCCTGCTCCAGCGGCAGTCTTCCCATTAGCAGGCTGGCTATTTCCATTTCGACGATCAGCCATTACAAACCGTTTCTACATATGACAAACATCAACTAATCACTTTCGGCCAATTAAATATACTTT